AAAGTCCTTCTGATGATGCAATGCATCATGGAGGAGGAAGAGGAGGAAGAAGGCAGCAGGGAGTAGTAGCTTAACGAATTACAATAAAGATGGAGAAAGAGATGTCATGCTGGTGGATGTAATATCCAAGAATAGGGAAAGGGAGAGTTTTAGAATGACCTCTAGATGATCAAATCTGAGTACCTGGGGAATGGAAATGATCTCCCTTGAGATGAAGGAATCCCTGTGTGGCCTAGGTTTGAGGGGGAAGTGAACCCTTGTCACCATGGCGAACCTGAAAAGGTGATCATCTGTTCAAGAAGAGATGTTTAGTAGGTGGTTGTTTATGTGAGCTTGAATCTCAATGCAAAGGATAGGGTTAGAGATATGTGTTTTTAACTGGTTCTTCTGACTTTCATAAACGTTTATTCTTTGTTTTGTGCACATTGAATAGTATCCCTTGATTATTCATGTTAACTAATGGTATCAGCATCCCTTTTCCTCTTTTCTTTGCCATCTTCCATCCGCTATATAGTTATTTTTCTTAATAAGGCTGTTAACACACATCTTACGTTCTTCTGTCTTGTCTTTGTGCCTGTACTGGGGCTGGAACACAGGCCGACATGCTCTCCCTTAGCTTTTTCACTTAAGGCTGGTTGGTGCTCTACCACTTGAAGCATTCCTCCACTGTGTGTGTGCACGTGTGCGTGCGTGCGTGCGTGCATGTGTGTGTGTGAGCGCGTGCGTGCTCATGTGCTGGTAATGGGGCTTGAACTTGGGGCATCGGGTTCTCCCTTAGCTTTTTCAATCAAGGCTGGCACTCTACCACGTGAGCCACAGCTCTACTTCTGGCTTATTGATGGTTAATTAGAAAAAAAGTCTCTTGGATTTGTCTGCCTGGTCTGTCTTGAAACTGTGATGCTCAGATCTCAAACTCCTGAGTAACTAGGATTACAGGTGTGAGCCAACAGCACCCTCCACTTCTTTTTGCTGGTTAATTGGAGATAAGAGTCTCACTGACTTTCTTGCTCAAGATGGTTCTCAGGCTCCTGACTAGCTAGGACTACAGTTGTGATCAACCAGGACCTGGATTGTTATTATTTGTATGAAATAATGGGGTTCACTATGGTATTTTCATACTTATATACTATGTACATTGATCATATATACCCCATCCCTTTTATCTCCTCCCTCCTCTTAGTGATCCCTCTCCATAGTTCCCATTGTACTTTTGTGTCCTTCTTTTCCAATCTAGGTTCTGCATGGAAGAAAACATGAGGTTATTTGTCATTTTGAGGCTGGTGTAATTTGCTTAAAATGATTATCTCCAGTTCTATCCATTTTCCTACAAATGATAGGTTTGTTTTTCTTTGTGGTTTACTAATAGTCCATTGGGTATATATACCATATTTTCTTTATGCATTCATCTGTTGATGATGGGTACCCATACTGATTGTATGATTTGGATATTTTGAATAGTACTGCAATTAACATGGCTACACAGATTTTTTATTATATGCTGATTGCTTTCAGGTTATACCCAGAGTGGTCTAGCAGGATCATATGCTAGTTCTATTTTTAGTTGATGTTTGTTTTTTTTTAATTTTGGGACACTTGAAACTGATTCTCACAGTGGCTAGACTAATTGACATCTATACCAACAATGTCAGTAACCATACTTAAATTTTCTATGGTGTCTAGCCTTCAGGTGAAACCACTAAGAGAATTCCACAATATACAATTATATGAATTTTGTTCACTTAAGGGCAAAATGATGTGCCAGGGCTTCATTTCCTCTTGGTGCATTGCCAGGGCCACTTGAAAAAAAGTGCTTCTTGGGCTTAGGGCTTGGCTCAAGTGTTAGAACACTTGCCTGGAGAGTATAAGGCTCTGAGTTCAAACCCTTGTCCTGTCACAGAAAAAAAGAAGTGGTTCTAGTAGAAAATAAATCCTCTTCTGTAGGTTAGAAATTATTTCCCCTATGAACTTTGAACATATTAACTCAATATAGCCTTGTAAAAGAGTTGCTTGATTTCATACCTAATGCTATTCCTTAGATTGTGCAATTTCTATTTCTCTTTATGGAAAATCTTAGAATCTTCTTTTCATGATTGTGCTTCACATCTCATAATGATATATATGTAAGTGTCTACCTCTTTTCTTTCCAGCTTAGGAGCACTTGATAACCCTTCCCAGTGTCTTTTATTCTGGGGGACTTTCTTCTTCTCTGAGAGGCTGTACAGAGTTAAAATACTAGAGTTAAGCTATCTGAGTTCAGATACTAACCATTCTATCTACTGTGTAACCTTAAGCAAGTTGTTTAAACTCAGTGCTTTCTTTGGAAGTTTCAGTACATGCACTCCCAAAATGCTACTCTCATATATCGATATATTGAGTTAATAGCTGAGTTAATAACAGCACAGTGAAGACAAGAAAAACATTCTGAGCTCCTTTTTTATCCTCTTAAATACAGGACATGAAATCCCTATGTGAAAGATGTCTTCTCCTTACCAGAAGGAAAGTTCTCTCTCTCTCATCACCAAGCATAGGAAATGGTGAGAGAATCTGTACAAACTTGCTAAACTAACCCTTCTCCAATTGCTCACTAACCACCCAGCTAATGATCTGAGCTCAAGTCCCTTGCCTTTCCCTCTACTTCTCAATCTACCACTCCATTCAATTAGGTATATGGGCTTCATTCTTTGGGTCATTTCCTTATAAAGATTCTTGTGCTAGATTATAACTTACTTTAAATAAATCTATATACTTCTGTCACCGATCTTTGTGTGGATTTAATTCTTAGACTTGACCAAAAAGAAAAAATCCTCAGAGAAGTAAAATTTTGTTTTCTTACCTAAAAAGTGGGAATAGTAATAGTAATATTACACTACCACATTACAAAGGATTTGTGTGAGAATTGAGTGAGTTCTATTTGTACTGGCTGGCAAATTGTATGTGCTTAATAAATATTAGATGTTGGGGGCTAAGAAGGTGGTTCAGCTTGCCTTGCATGCATGAGGCCCTGAGTTTGATTCCTCAATACCACATAAGCAGAAAAAGCAGGAAGTGGTGCTGTGGTTTAAGTGGTAGGGTGCTAGCCTTGAGCTGAAGAGCTGAAGGACAGTACCCAGGCTGAGTGTTCAGGCCCCGTGACCGACAAAAAAAAAAAAAAAAAAAAGTTATGTGTTGATCGTAAAGCTGAATCTCCACTTTTCTTTTCTTCTCTGTATCCTCTAGGTTTTCATTATTTTATGCTCTTGATCTTTCTTTACCTTTGTCCAAATCCTTATTATGCCTGAGGTTTTTTTTTTTTTTGTATAATTCTAATCTTTTGTGGTCTGTTAATTATTAGGAACAGAACAGGGACTGTGATTTTCCAAATTAATACCTGGTGTGATAGTGTCCTAGTAGTCCTAAAATGTTAAAATGGGGCAGGTAGACCATGACTGAAAATGGTTTGGAGACAGATTTGGAGGAACCCTCTAAGTTCTGTTCTTTTTTTTTCCTGGCCTCTTCCTGTGCTGGCTGACTGAGTCTACCCAAAATGTCAGTCCAACTGGGTTTCTTTCCTGCATTTCTTTCTAGGGATGGCTTCTTTGAACTCTTTTTAACCATTAATAGGCTTCTATCCTTTCTCACATTCCATAAAGCCCTTCCTTCAATTCCCTTCACCTTGATAAGTTTATTGCTTTTGTCCTACTTTTTAAAAGTGTCTTGGGAGACAAGCGAGTGTATACATTTCTGCTCAGTCTACTCTCCTGAATCAAAAGCATAAGTGGTTTTTTTTTTTTATCGATCTAAAGGACAGCCCATTGTTACAGATTAATAGCCCTCTTCATTATCTTCTTCTGATGAAGTGGAAATGATGCTGAATATGACTATTTTCTACCATTCTGACCTTCAGTCCTGCTGCCCCATACATACTTAACTGGACTGACTAGATTGCGGAGTCATCTAAAGCTACCATGAAGAGCTCTGAAAGTCATCCTCCCTGACTATTGAACTGCTTATTTGAAGTTTAGCTTATGAACTTATACTGATAGTGAATAAATGTGTTTGTTTTACTCAGGCCTGTACTTAAGATTTGGTAAATTCTCTCTCAGAGGAGTACTCTCAGAAGTATCTAGAGGATGTTGGCTAAGAGACAGATATGACTTTCATTAAAAGTGACTTTCTTAAAATGACATTGTCAAGTAAAATAACTTTAGGTATGAAAGTGTTTTAGTGAATAGCTGATGTAACAGTATATGGTCACATGACTAGGACATGTGGGATGTTCCAAATGTTGAAAAAGGAGGGAAAAACCCAATGTTCTTCTTCTCCTTGGTTATCATGCTTGTACTTGTTACAATACAGGTGCTCAAACTTCTTCATGTGGGGCTGGGAATGTGGCTTACAGTGGTAGAGTGCTTGCCTAGCATGCACGAAGCCCTGGGTTTGATTCCTCAGTACCACATAAGCAGAAAAAGATGGAAGTGGCTCTGTGGCTCAAGTGGTAGAGAGCCAGCCTTGAGCAAGAGAGGCTCAGGGACAGAACGCAGGCCCTGAGTTCAAGGCCCAGGACCAGCCCTCCCAAAAATGGTCTATATGCTAACTTAAACTTTTATAAGCTAAACTTAAAAAAATTAAATTCTTTTATTTTTCAAAATTTATTGACCACTTCTTTTTTGTCTTGAGCAATAGCTACAAATATACACAAATAATGTTTCTCAGAGTTCACTTTGTAAGAGTGTCATTTAGTATTACCTGCTATTTTAATAGTTTTAATGTTTTAAAAACTGGTGGCAACAATAATGAGCAGAATGTTACCAAGTTTCTGATCTTAAAGTTGGTATTCATGATCAGTGCAATTTTTCAATACATTATATTAGAGTTGTACGGAAATAGGCTGTCTACTGGAAGATAACCTGGTAGAGTCATAGGAACTTGAACTAGTGTGTCTTTCCTACTCCTGTAGAGAAGTCTATCTTAACAGTAGTAAACTGAGATAACAAAAGAGGTTTTACCACTGCTAACCTTACCTATTCCACAAGAAGGCTTTTGCAGCCTGCTGTATTTGACTGGATAAGACAGTTGACCTGTTGGTTTTTGGAAGTCACTCCTCTGGGTACTCTGACTGTCAAAAGGTGGTCGTCGACACTCCTGTGACTCAGATGGCCACCAGTGACTCTTTATAGAGAAAAACAATTGGAAGCAAAATTGAATACTGTTGGACATTTTCATGTGTTTCTGTGAATGTTCAATAATTTAACTTATTAGATAGCCCAGTACTCAAATAGAGTTCTTAAATCTAGGAATAAGTATCTTTTCACAAAGATTGCAATTGTGTGTGTGTGTGTGTGTGTGTGTGTGTGTGTGTGTGTGTATGTGTGTGTGTGCACCACTACTAGAGCTTGAACTCAGGACCTCAAGCTCTTGCTCTGTTCACTCATGGCTGACTCACTATCACTTAAGTCATACCTTTATTTCCAGCAGTTTCCTGGTTAATTGGAGACAAGTGTCTTGAGAAGTTGTCTGCCAATCTGGATACAAACTGAGATTCTCAGATCTCAGCCTCCTAAGTAGCTAAGATTACAGGCATGAGACACCAGCTCCTAGGTTGTATTTCTTTTTTAACTTTTTTTTGATCATATTGGGGATTGGATTTAGGACTCCTGCACATGCTAGAGAAGCACTCTATCACTTGAAGCATACTTCCAGCCCAAAGACTATATTTCTTAAGAGGCATCTAAAAACAAATCCACCTATAGAGTTTTTAGCTGAAATACAACTCCTAAATTCTTATTTAGCTATCTACTATCAACATATCACATGATCAAAATAAATAAGTTATGGAGAGGGGAGGGATAGTGGGAGAAGAACAAGGAAAGGGGTAACAATGATTGACAAGTATTCATTGATTTACTCATGTAACTGTAGCTCCTCTGTACAGCATCTTTACAATAAAATAAAATTTTAAAATATTATTATTTTAAAAATATTATTACATTTTGTACTCTAATTTTATTATATAAATAATAAAACATGATTTAATCTAAAAATATGCTCAATATATTTTATGAGAACGTATAATCATCTAAAATGTTGGTTATAAACGGTTTTGTTTTTGTTGGTCATAGGGTTTGAACTCAGGACCTGGGCACTGTCTCTAAGCTCTTTTGCTCTATCACTTTGAGCCACAGCACTACTTCCTTTAAAAGTTGTTAGTAAGCAGGGTATCAGTGGCTCACGCCTGTAATCCTAGCTACTCTGGAAGCTGAGCTCTGAGGATTACGGTTAAAAGCTAGCCTGGGCAGAAAAGTCCTTGTGAGACTCTTATCTCCAATAAACTATTCAAAAAAGCTATGGCTCAAGTGGTAGAGCACTAGTCTTGAGCATAAAGAGGCTTCAGGACAGCATCTAGGCCCTGAGCTCAAGCCCCAGGAAAGGCAAAAAAAAGTTTTTAGTAGATGATTTATATGATGAAATACATTTATACAAGAGTATATGATGTTACTCATACATAAAACTGAAACCATTATCTTGCCCATGTAATTGTAACTCCTCTGTACGGTATTTTCATAATAATAATTAAAAAATAAAAAGAACATGAAAACTGAAACCAAATTTTCCCAAGTATTATCTTACTTTATATATGAGACAATATTTGGCTGTTTTTCTATTCTATTCTATTCTTTTGCTTTTTCTTCCATTTCATTGAAAGCAATATTTTGTTTCAGAAATGTAACTATAATAAAATGCTGCTTGAGAATCACACTGATTTACAATTCACTAATGACTCCGTTCAACAATATTTTGTTCTAGGGAGAAAGAGCTCGATGTGACTGAATTGTGGATATTCAGAGCTAGGCATGCAGGAGGAGGAGGCCTGATGAATTCCTTGGTGGCACATGGACCATTTCATCTCTTAGAAGCTGAGAAAGCAGTTGTTACTTGACTTAATTCTAATCAAAATTAAAATCTGCTTGATCAGGAAAAAGAAGGAAGGAGGGAAGGCAACTGGAACTCTGGGAAGTTCCCGGATGTGATGAGGTAATGAAGTAACCTTAAGGACATGCCAGCACCTACACTGGCTTGTAAGAAAATAAAGCCGCACCAGTGGCTCATGCCTATAACCCTAGCTCCTCAGGAGTTACAGATCTGAGGATCACAGTTCAAAGCCAGACTGATTTAGGAAAGTCCGAGAGACTTTTATCTCCTATTACCACCTGGAGCTGAGACTCAAGTGATAAGGTGCTAGGCTTGAGGTTTAAGCTCAAGAGCAGAGCCCAGGTCCAGAGTTCAAGACTCAGGACTGGCACAGAAACAAACTAGGAACCAAAATTTTAAAATATAATTCAAGGAGAATATTAGATTCTAGTAATAAAATTCTTACACTATAATCAAGGTTAAGTTAATATAAAAAAGAAGAGGCATCTAAAGAACCCTATATGAGTTGGGCATGGTAGGGCATTCCTGCAATCCCAGCTGTTCAAGGGGCAAAGGAAGGATTGTGAGACCAATTAAAGGTAACAACAACTTTCTCCAAAACAAAAAACTAGAGCAAAAGGGCTGCAGGGGTAGCACACGTGGTAGAGTAGAGCACTTAACTTGTGTGAGGCCCAGGGTTCAATCCCTAGCACAACAAAAAGTAAAACTAAAAATAAAAGAGAATCTCATGTGGCTGCATAGGAAGTCAGCTCTCAAATGAGTTAAGCTTCTGAAAAAACGGACAATATCAAATTCAAAAAAGTTTTTTTTTCTGGGAGAAAGCTTAGAATAAAAAAAAAATCAAACATTAACAATCTGGAAAGGATTACAATGTTCAAAGCTGAAACTTAGACTACTTGACGTGAGGTTGTTTGTTAAGGGAAATTATCTGATAAGATAAGCATGTACAGAGAGAGAAGAGCAAAGACCTGAATAACAGACAAAAGAATTAGATATCACTCTGTCACTTTCATGCTAGGTTTTTGGGCTAATGACAACTTGTTACCAGGACTAATGGAATGACAGGCAATTGCAAGTAGGTGATTTCTGGCAGTACTCCAGAAATTTAGGATCCAGGGAATTCTGGAGAAGCTGGCTAATACCCAGATGTTCAGAATGGGCTAAAAAGATAAATTTTACAAATTAAGACTACTTGATATAGATCCAATGAAAATTCTAGGACAGATTACCTAAGCAGATGGTGTCTTCTCACTATGTGGCTAAAAATAATCAGGACTTACTATTTGAGTCAGAGTGGCTGCCTCTTCCAGCTCTCCACTCCATAATTACCATTGTGCTTATTATGTACAAGGTCTAGAATTCATAGCCTTATCTTTCTCTCTCTACAGTTCTATGTGGTAGGTACCCCCCACTTTACAGAGGAGGAGACTCCCAGGAGATTAAACTTCCCCTAAACTATGTCTCTAGCAGGCCAAAACACAACCACATGACCACAATTTGACCTATCACCTATGTATACATGTATACATACCCCTAAACACTATGTTACATCAAGTCTCTTATGGAATGCTAAAGCAGATAAGCAGAAACTTAACTATATTGTTGCAAAAGCAAAGAATCACAGGTTCTAAGTAGGTGTCTTAGTCTGTTTTGGTGGCCATATCCGAACACCACAGGCTAGGTAATTTATAAGGGACAGAAATGTGTTGGCTCACAGTTCTGTTGGCTGGGAAAATCTGATATTGAGACACCAAGACATAGAGGCAGGTTTGGTAATTCCAACTCCAAGATGGTATCTTGAATGCTTATGTAGATCTGGAAAACCCAGGATAGAAGATAGTCCTGTCAGAAAAATCCTTGAGACTCTTATCTCCAATTAACTAGCAAAATGCTAGAGTGGAGGCATGGTTGAAGTGGTAGAGTACCAGCTGTGAGCAAACAAGACAAGCAAAATCTTGTGGCCCTGAATTTAAGCACTGATACTTGCATGGAAACAAAAAGAAAGAAAAAAAAAAGCAAAAGAATTGCAATACTGTTTTAGTTTTTTTTTTTTTCTTTTTAAAAAAGTTAAGTCCTCCAAACATTTCTTCATGATTCACTTACCCAGAATCTCTTTTCCAGAGACTCAAATATTAGCAAAGTAAGTCTCTGATCCACAAATGATATAAGGTATGTGTCTTACAAAGTTTTTTTATAGTAAAACTCCCTTGGGATGCTTAATGCTATGGTTTGAGAGCTTATCCCCTCCAAAGCTGACATAGAAATTAAATTGTTTTTTTTTTTTTTGGTTTTTTTTTTTTTTTTTTGGGGGGGGGGGTCCGGTCGTGGGGAACTCTGGGCCTGGGTGCTGTCCCTCAGCTTTTCAGCTCAAGGCTAGCGTGCTACCACTTGAGCTATAGCACCACTTCCAGCTTTTTTTTTTTTTTTTTTTTTTTCTGCTTATGTGGTGCTGAGGAATGGAGCCCAGGGCCTCATGCATTCAAGGCAAGCACTCTACCACTGAGCCACCTTCCCAGCCCTAAATTGTGTTCTAACAGTACTGAGAGGTGAAACTTTTCAAGAGACATGAGTGCTTTTGCTTTTATCGGTGGGACTCTGTTTTTGGTGGGTTCCCAGGCTGGCTTTGAATCATGATCCTCAGATCTCAGCCTCCTGAGTAGCTAAGATCACAGGTGTGAGCCATGGGTGCTAGTAGCTCAATTGCTCTTCTTAAACAGAGATACCAGGTTACTGTTCAAGTGAAATTCTTTGAGAATTTTACCAAGATGTTCTCCTTTGTCTCATAAATGTAAAGGGCATAATGAATAGGTTTTCCTAAAGTCTTAGTAACTTTCAGACTCTCCTGTTAGGGAAAGTATTCTGAAGAAATGGGAAATACAAATACAAATTAACAAATTTAAAAGCTTCTGTACAACAAAGGAAATAATTAACAGAATGAAGAGACAACTTACAGAATGGGAGAAAAAACTTGCCAGCTATTCATCAGATAAAGCCTATCCAGATTATATAGAGAGCTGCCAAACATAAACCCCACCAAGACCAAAATGATTAAATTAATAAGCAAATAAATTGAATAGCTCAAAAGAAGTACAAATATACATTAAGGAGTATTCAGCATCTTTAAACATAAAGGAAATGCAGATCAAAAAGACACTGAAGTTCCATTTCACTCTAGTCAGAATTGCAATGATAAAGAAAACAAAAAAATAAGCAAGGAGGGGAAAAAGTTGAAGACTGTTGGTGCAACTGTAAATTCGTGCTGCCACTCTGGACTTGTTCTATGTAACACTAAGATTAATAGATGTTATGTGAAAGGGTTTCCTATGGCTAAATAAAGCTGCAAAATAGTAAGTAAGATAAGCCAAGTTATCCAAGTTTATCACGGATGTTTCTGACTCTTTATACACTGATAGTAGTAGTGACACTCTGAGAAAGATACATAAAAATTACACCTTTTCCAGAACTTACTTGATTTTAGAAATTTATTTTTTCAAGTATGTGAGTTAAGGCTCGTGTTCTGAAAGCTACACTCTGACAAGCCTTTTCTAAAGACCAGTACTTGGAAATTTCCAGGCAATCAGATTAGTTTTCATTGAAAGTCACTGTGCTAAGACCCTTTTTACTGCATCCAGTAACTTCAACATTAGGCCTCAGTGCAGAAAAAGAGGAGGGCTTCAGAAGATGACAGGAGTCTTGAGTGATGGAGATGTTGCATCACTTGATCATGGTAAGATTATATAACTAGAACTTTACCACAGCTCACAGGACTGCATCTTTAAAAAGGTCAGCTTTCCTCTAAATATGTTCCTTTATATGGCAAAGGAGCTTTGGAGATGAGATTTAGAATCTTTTCTTTTTGGTTTAGTTATTTTCTGTGATAGTTTTGCAATTCTTTTGTCCAATGTTGGCCTCTACCTACATCTCCTGGTGTAGCTAGGATTACAAGTTTACACCTGGCTTGTTGAGAGGGAATTTTACTAACTTTTTTCTTTGACTGCCATCTCCCCCATATCTATCTCCTGAGTAATTAGGATTACAAGTATGAGCCTTTGTGCCCAGTCAAGATGAGGGATCTTGAGCTGGAGAGATTACCCCATATTACCCCAAATAGAATACAAGGATCCCTTTAAAAGGCAGGAGAGTCAATCAGAGAGATTGGATTATAAGATTCTTCTGGTTCTAAAGAGGAAGGTGCCATGAGCCAAGGAATATAAGCAGCCCCAGAAGTTGAGAAAGGCAAATACAGACTGTTTCTCAGCACCTCTAGAAGGATTTGACCAGCCAAAAGCCAGTGACAGTGGTTTTACATATTTGAACTCCAGAACTATAAGAGAATTAATTTCTGTCGCTTTAAGCCAGTGCTTAAATTTGTAACAATTCCAACGGGAAACAATATAATAATCATACCTCAACAACCCTAACTTTTAAAAAACGGTAATGGAATATATTTAGGATGGCATAGTGAATAACAGAGGTTCAGCTAAGCCAACTATCCTATAGCAGAGACAGTATTTGCTTACTATATTACCTCAGATACATTCATTAACCTCACTATGTATTATCACTTCTGAAGTAGTTCCAATAATACTTTGTAGAAAGTGTTGCAAAAATTATACTTTATATAAAAACAAAGCTAATTCCTGGCACTCTATATACTTTAAGTCAATGGTAGCTATTTTATAGCTACCATTTTATAGCTGAGTAGGGTGAAGTTTTTGGAATATATGCCACAAACAACATTACAGGATTCCTTTAGTAGTCCCCACGCACTACTGAGTGGCTACAATCCTACCCAATGTAGAAAATGATTACTTGCATTCTTGCCCTAAATACATATTGTTTATATAACAAAGTTATCTGCCAGAACAGTTCCAGATTACTGCTTTTAACCATTGGATTATCAACAATCCTATTTTGAGACAAGCACGTCACCTTCTTTAAAATAGCAGTGACCAAATTATCCTGCAAAGAAAGCTTCCAAATCTAAATCTATATTTGAATACAACAAACATCTGTCCAACCTGCACTTCGGGCTCTTCTTTTGGATCTATGTAGGGAATTGGTTCATTGTAAGTTCTCATATTTGTATTAATGAATTTAGCATAATTTACACGTCCTCTCCGGACACAAGATGTTGAACGTTGCATTGTTTTTTCTTGTTCGATTTCTTCTTTTTTAGTTACATACTTTATACCATCTTCTTCTATTTTGTCCTGTCTGAAAAACACAATTAAATAGTAAATTTTCTACCCCAATAAGCATTGTACAGAGTCCTAATCAAATAAGACCTAAGTATGTTTCAAGTATTAAGACAATTTAGGTTTTATTAATACTGTTTAATAGACTTACACTATTAAAATTTGGGTTGGCTAATGTGTTAATAATGATTAGTCATTCTGATATAGGAGTGCAGTACATTGGCTCTTTTTTGGGGGGAAACACTAGTGATTTAATGACACAAATCATGTTTATAGTATTTATGCATATGACTAAATTACATGATTATCTGAACATGCTTTCTTTAAAGGTTTTACGATCTAGAGCGGACCTCCCCTGGTTTAACCTAGTAAATTTAGCCATCTGCTCTGGTCAAGGACAGCTACTTAACTCTAAAAATTCACCTGGCAAACTTATAAAAGCTATCAAATGACCACCAATATATTTTTTCTTTCCTTTTCTTCCTTCTTCTCCTTCTCCTTCTCCTTCTCCTTCTCCTTCTCCTTCTCCTTCTTCTTCTTCTTCTTCTTCTTCTTCTTCTTCTTCTTCTTCTTCTTCTTCTTTCTTCTTCTTCTTCTTTTTCTTCTTCTTTTCTTCTTCTTCCTCTTCCTCTTCCTCTTCTTCTTCTTCTTCTTCTTCTTCGTCTTCTTCGTCTTCTTCGTCTTTTTCTTCGTCTTCGTCTTCTTCTTCTTCTTTTTGGTGGGGAGGTCTAAGATTGGGACTCGAATTTGGTACCTGTTGCTTTGACTCACTGGCTAGAGCTCTACCATCAAGCGTGGGGGGGGGGGGGAGGGGGGGAGGAACCATGACAGGTAACACTTCAGCTTATCTGATCTGACCATTTTTGGTGTTTTTATGAACTATACCTCTACATAAATATGAAGTTATTTCAAAAAACTTTTTGAAATATAATGAAATAGTAATGAAATCAACTACTCTGAATGCTTTTTACATAGAAACCTTTAAAATCCAAGTGGGAGGAATGTCAATAAGATTCCAACTTCATAAAATGGAGAGTTCTATTTTTCCTTACCCACAGCCCTTCAAACATAACCCTACCTTGCCTTAAAAAGCTAGGCCATCTCTTCCATCATGTCATTCATTTTCTTCTTCTCTTTATTTCTATTTTTCTCCTTCCTTCCTTCCTTCCTTCCCTCCCTCCCTCCCTCCCTCCCTCCCTTCCTTCCTTCTTTCCTTCCTTTTCTTTTGCCAGTCCAGGGACTTGAACTCTGGAAGTGGGTGCTATCCTTGAGCTACTATTTGTTCAAGGGCTAGCACTCTACCACTTGAAGCACAGCACCATTTCTGGCTTTTTCTGTGATTTACTGGAGATAAAGAGTCTCAGACTGCCCGGACTGGCTCTGAATTGTGATCCTCAGATCTCAGCCTCCTGAGTAGCTAGGATAACAGGCGTGAGCCACTGGACCCAGCTATGTCACTCATTTTTCAATGAAAAACCTTGACTGTACAAAAAAAAATATTTCCTCCCGATAACACCTCACACCTCTTCTATGACCTGCTCCTGAGAATCTCTTCAACCTCATTCAAGCTTCTCTGCCCTCGCTTTCCATTTTCTGTTCCCTACAGAGCATTAGCACATACCCTTCTCTCTGCCTGCTGCTCTTCCTGGTTCTCTGACAGGGTGCTAATTATCACATAGGACTTAAGCTGAAAAATCCCCTCTTCAAAATCTCTTCCTAGATTTCCCTCGTCCTACATTCCATTCTCTCCATGCATTCTCTCATGAGTTTTCAAAGTGGGCTTTATTATGACCTTTTTCTTTGGTAAATGTATAAATTGGTCATATTCTGTTCTCCTTGTCTTCTTTTTCTCCTCTTCTACTATTTCCTCCCCCTAAACAGACCTCCTTTTATGTTCATGTCCTTGGGGTTTTTCCTTTAGATCATATTTTAAAAAATATGCAGTCTTTGTCTGAGTCTGGTTTATTTCACTAACATGATGATTTCCACTTCCATTTTCCTGCACGTGACAAAATGTCATTCCATTTTATGCGTAAATAATATTTCATCCCACTCAATGTCTTCTGTTTTATGCTTTATCCATCCTTTCATGACAACCACAATTCATAATATATGTACCTCGGTTCTTGTTTGTAATAAATACCATAAATACCCTTATTAGTCAATAAATTGCATGACACAAAGATTGCTTCATTCATCATTATTTACCCCACACTCAGGAAAGTGTCTTGCTCACCAAAGGTAAATGGTTTTACTTTATAATATTCACATATCTGTGGTGAGTCTTTTAGAATTGTCTTTCCACTATGGCTTTGTTTTTGTCATGTACCCACAACTCTCAACTATACAATCAAAGGCCATTCAGAATCCCTTTGAGTTCTCTGCAAAGGATTTGGAAAAACTGATTACTGGTCAAGTGTAAATAAGTTCCAATTCTTTTCTATGACCTTTCCAGAGATACTAGCATTTATTTAAAGCTTATGACCAGTGAGCCAATTAATTTATCATTGTGGACCACTGGCTTCCCTAAGTTTCTCATAGTTGTATCCCTCCAATACATTTATACTAGAATTCTTTCCTGGCCATACTTGGGATTGAACTCAGAGTCTCTCTTGCTACATCGGTGTGCTACTGAAGCCACACCCCCCATTTTTGCATTGCTTAGTTTTGAGGTAGGTCTTGCTTTATGCCAGGCCGGGCTGGGCTATGATCCTCCTAATTGTGCTTCCCCATAGTTGGGATAAAGGGCCTGTTCCATCTCACTCAGCCATTGAAGAAGATGGAGTCTTGAGAACTTTTATGCCTGGACTGCCTTGGAGGACAATCCCTTGATCTTGGCCTCTCAGAGTAGCTAGGATTAAGTGCCTAAACCACCTTGCCCATCTTAGATTGAAGTCTTTCTTAATTAAGGAAAGAAGTGTGGCTATTTGCTTGCTCACACCCTTTGATGACCATTTATGGTATAAATTCCTACATATGATCCAGAAAATGTGAAATGTGAAGGCAGTGGTCTCTTTGTAGAAGGAAATGTAGATTAAACCACTGAGTAGTTAGGCCTGGACTAGAATCCTAATTCTGCCATTAAGTATCTGAACCTGGGTTTCCTTATTTAAAAGCATGACAGCTGGTGTAGAAGATGTGAGAATAACATTGAATTACTCATTCTGTCAAGACTCATTGTCTGCTATTGTTTGTCAGGTGTTAGGGGCAAGGAGGATTCAGCAGAGACAAAACCCAAAAACAGAAAAACAGCAACAACAAAAACCCCAACCCTGTCCTCACACAGCTTGCATTCTAGAGAAAGAAGTAAGATGGGGGAAAAAAAAAAAGTAAAATGCACAGCCGTGTCAGGACAAGCACTAAGCACAGAATGGAGTTTGGAGAAGGCAAGCTGCATGTGGGAGGTAGGCTGTATTTTTAGGTAGGGTAGAGGCTGCACGGTGAAGGTGGCAATTGAAAAAAGAAAGAAGGAAGGGAAGGAGCGAGCTAGGTGGATATCGGAGGGATGGCATTCCAGCAGAGTGAGTGCTGACTGCAAAAACTTCGTAGATACTGTCCCTTCCTTAGAACACAAACCGGTCTCTGGATTAGCAGCACTAGCATCCATTATGACCCTGTTAGCAGCACAAAGATACAGGCTCCAAGTTAACCATTTAAATTAATCTATGCAGCTGGTTCCTGGGAACCTGCCTCCACCAGCTCTCTAGCTGGTTCATTTGCCCGTTACAGGTTGAGAACGACTGTTCTGACAACAGAAGTACAGGCTTTAGAAGTAGGTGTCCCTAACTCCGTACAAATCTTAACGAGTTTTCATATCTTGTCTGGGAGAGTCATCGAAATTTCAATACATCACAGTCTCCTGAAGTCCAGTCGGAGCACAGATTATCTGCTCCCACACTCAGGGCTTCAGATTCAGCGAGGGTGGAGCCGGCCTTCCCTTAGAAATGGTCATTTTGTCATGTCCAAGTGGTGATGTTTGGGAATCTCTGCAGATGACAGCAGGGAGCCGCTGCGTTAGGCACCGGGTGTGTAGGCCTTGTGTGGGCGCCTGACCTGTCACTGTGATGGCGAGGGAGAAGAGTCACCCCTTTATGTCGTAGAGACCACCCTGCCTTGCTGAGGAGCTGCAGATGACACGGGTGGGAAGGGAAGCAGGGGCTGCAGTGCAGAGTGTGAGGCTGGGACTTGGGACCAGGTGGGGGTGCACAGCAGGGCCGCACCGTGGGAGACAGAGATAATAACTACGTAAGTAAAACCCACAGGACTTGCAGTCGGTGTGGGGCCCGAGAAGGAATGATTTCAAGATGACTTCAGGTATGGAAGACCCGTGATCCGGGTAATCGGCCAAGTGCTCAATAAGTGAGTTTAAAAAAACAAAGAAAAGAGGAAACATCCCCTCAGCTCAGCGTCTGCAGATCACAAAGCGGACCGCGAGGCTTGGCCTGGGCCGGGTGCGGGGCTTGGCCTGGGCCGGGTGCGGGCCTTGGCCTGGGCCGGGTGCAGGAGGCCTCCGCTGGGTCTCCCCAGCCCCTGCGGGAAGAAGGAAAATAATTTTCACAAGTGGGGAAAAGAAAAAAAAAAGCCAAATCCCAGCACTTACTGGTGCTTTTCCTCCTGTCCCTCCATGATCTCGCTACGGCCTGGCACGCGGCATGGAGGAGCCTCACGAGAGCAGGGCTCAGCCCTGCCCGGAGGCTGGCGCGAGCCCCGCGCCACTGTGACTCGGGCGTTGCTAAGCGACCGCAGAGTTCCCGGAGCCCCTCCTTAGACAGGGACCAGAGCCTGGGACCCGCAGTGCGCAGGCGCAATGGCTGCCGCCGGCCGGCCCGGGAGAGCGGGCAGCGGAGCCCCAGTGCGGCTGCGCGAGGCGCGGTCGCGGGGCTGGCGGAAGGCGAGCGCGCCGCCGCGCCCGGCCTTGGAGTCCTGCTCCTGAGCTTGCGCATCCCTCTGCAGGGCTGGCGGGGCGTGCGGCGGGGTTCCGACCTGCGGTGCACGGAGGAACCGAAGCCCTAGAGGGGGATGAGTGGACAAAGAGACTGGACACCCAGTGGGAGACTCCTGAGGGTGGGCCTTGTTAACAGACGCAGTGTGCGTCTGTGTGTGTGAGTGTGTGAGTGTGCGTGCGTGTGTGTATGAGTGTGTGTATGCGTGTGCATGAGTGTGTGTATGCGTGTGTGAGAGAGTGTATGAGTGTGTATGCGTGTGTGAGTGTGTATGAGTGTGTGAGTGTATGAGTGTGTGTGCGTGTGTGTGTATGCGTGTGTGTGTATGTGTGTGAGTGTATGAGGGTGTATGTGTGTATGTGTGTAGAGTGTGTGAGTGTGTTGAGTGTGTATGTGTGTTGAGTGTGTGTGTATGAGTGTGTGTGGGTGTTGAGTTGTGTGAGTGTGAGTGTGTATGAGTGTGTGTGTTTGGGGAGGACAGTGCGAGTGGGTAAATAAGTATGGAAAAAGTGGGTTGAAAACCAGAAAGCGGGAGGAAGGATCTCACAATTTATTGGACTCCCTCCTTGAGAACCGGGCATTTGTTGAGCGACCAACAAACCTTCCCACTGATTTATTACATGGCAGCCTTGGGAAGACAGCGCTTCGGTATTATCTTCAGCCATTGGCCCCAGGTTAAGGAGGGAGAAGGGGGGGGGGTGGAAGGAGGGAGGAGTGGGGGAGTGAGAAAGCTATGCACCGTTAAACCAGTCCCAAGTGACAAGTATAGCTTGGTTGACTGTTAGCTCAAGTCTTTATCTCTGGGGAAGTTCTGGAGAAGTTGTTATCCCTTTATCATTGGGACAAGTTGCCTGGTGGATGATTTGGCTACTTCTTGTAAGATCAGTTGAAGGCATTTCCTGTTTGAGGGGTCCTTTTCCTTCCACACGAAATACTCATCAGGGAATCTTCTCTTTCCTGGAGCCCAAGGTGATTGCAAAGAGACTGTGGCAAAAACCAACCAACCAACCAACCAGATCGGATCAAAGGGCTGATACAAAGTCGAGGGACTTTTAGTTCATTCACATGGATCGGTAAAAATAGCTTTTAATTTGCCTTTTACAAGAACAGCCATAACCACATTTTTAGGCTGCCACATATCTGAAATTTAGTCACCTGCCTCACCATTCACTCTACTTTCTATTTAACCTATATCAATCTCTTTCGCTCTGGAAACCAGTCACTCTCAGGCACAGCTTCAGCTGGCTGTTAAGAACTAATGAGGAGGGGCTGGGAGTGTGGCTTAGTGGTAGAGTGCTTGCCTAGCCTGCAAGAAGCCCTCCCTGGGTTCCAGTTCTCAGTACCACATAAACGGAAAAAGCCAGAAGTGGTCTTGTGGCTCAAGTGGTAGAGCACTCAGCTTGAGCAAAAGAAACTCAGTATCTAGGCCCTGAGTTCAAGCCCCAGGACTGGCAAAAAAAACAAAAAAACAAAATGAGCTATTCAAGAGGCTGCAATCTGAGAATCATGGTTCAAAGCCAGCAGGGGCAGGAAAATCTGTGAGACTCTTCATGTCAATTAACCAGCAAAAAGCTGGAATAGAGCTGTAGCTCAAGTGGTAGTCCACTAGCCTTGAGCAAAAAAGCTTAGAAGTCCGGGTCCTGAGATCAAGCCTCGAAACTGCCCCCACCCAAAAAATGTCCCCCAAATAAATGAGGTCATCTCAGTTTTCTTCTCATACAACTTCACCTGCCCCCACTTCACCTGCCTCCACATTGTATCCGACTAAAATATATTTGTGTCAATGTCTTTCCAACTATTAAGTAGTGTGTATATGCCTAGGATTTATTAAAGGCCATGAAAAACATTAAAACTAGAAAGTATATCTCTTACAAGGAAGTCTCTGTTAGAGATGCAAACGTGCCAGGAAAACTGCAATGATCTATAACATTATAGAACATAGTCACATGGTAAATTACAGTATTGATGATAACATATTATTATAAAAGCCCAGTTATTCTTGGTACATTCTCCATAGCAGACTGCATAATATGGATTTTAAAATAATTATTGACTTTTATACAGAAAAAGCACGGGACTGCTATTAGTGGTTTATGCTAATAATTTTTTGACTTAGGAGAAGCACTTACAGTGCTCTGTGCTATAGATTGTCACTTATGAAAAATAGGTAGCCAGATTAATCATTTTAAGATCACTTTCAAAGATTCTATCGGAAGCTTCATGTCTGAAAAATAAACACCAGTGAACACCAGCCTAAACGATATATGTAATTTTTTCATGCATGATAGGTAGTTTGGATGCTTGTCAACAAAGAATAATTCACAACTGCAAGTTTACTAGTACTGTCCCAGTTAAAACTTCAAGTGCCATTTGAGCTCCCACCCCATACGTGGGAAACCACAAGAGGATGGAAATTGCTCATCTAAGATATTATACCTAAATTATTGTTTTATTTTTTCTTTTTTTTTTTTGGCAGTACTGGGGATTGAATTCAGTGCCTTATGGTTGGTTGAACACTTAAGAGTCTAGCCTCTTTTTGCATGGATTATTTTCAAGGTAGGTTTTCACTTTATGTCCATGCTGGCCTGGACTTTGATCCTCCTACTTCTGCTTCCCACATTGCTGGGAATGACAGGCCCACACCACTCACTGCGCTTAGTCATTGTGCTTCTCTTCTAGCTGGGATAACAGGCTTGCACCACAATTCACAGCCATTGGTTGATACAGCGTCTCACTTTCTAAAAGTTTACTGTTAGCAGTCTTCCTAGTTTTATCATTTAAATCAGAATGGTAGATTCGTCAAGCACATATATTATGTGGTCTTTGTTTCATTAAGTTGGATTATAATAATTTTATCAAGACAATATAAATTTATTTGAAGGCAGTGGGGATGAGATATGTTAGTATCAAGTTTGCCTATCTTTGAAGAGGGATGGGATCAGTTGAGTTACACATATGGAAGGGTCCTTCAATTATACATCATATCATACATCTCATATCATATCATACATCTCTAGTATAATTCTGAGCCAGGTGTGATGGTGCATGCCTGTAATCTCAGTTATATAGGAAGCAGATGTAGGTTAAGGTCCAGGACCTATCTGAGCCGGAAAACATTAAGACTCTATTTGAAAAATGACTGAAGAAAAAGAGTTGGGGGTATGGCTCAAGCAGTAGAGCACTTGCCTAGTAAGCAAGGCCCTGAGTTCAATCCCCTACTAACCCCCCCCCCCTCTATATATAGATATATTACTTCTGATACAAATGATCCTGGATATCTGAATATATATATATATATATATGTAAACTTACATGGATGTATAAATTTAAAATCTAAAAAAATTAATCTCTAGAAATACTATATAGCCCAGGTTACTGAAAATCATTGTTAGAAATCACTAGTTTTGACAATATTGATAGAAGAAAAGGATAGGATGTGAGTTGAGAGATAAAAAGGAAAAACAAAAAATTAAAAAAATATATATAATAAAAAAAATTGGGGGGACGGGGGGGGGGAAGGAGAAGGATTGGGATTGGGGGGGAGGGGGGAGGCTGGGAACGGATGTGAAGGGTAAACAAAGGAGGAGGCTGCAATGCTTGGTAAGAAATGTACGCATTATCCTGCCCATGTAACTGTAACTTCTCTGTACAGTATGTTCACAAATAAAATTAAATTAAATTAAAAAAAAAAAAAGAAATCACTAGTTTTGAAATTTATCTGATTGAAAGAAGAAGCCTGTATTTGATGAATGTAGATGGTTCTAGCTACTTCTATGATTTCATCAGTTGAGGCTTTTTTTGTTGTTGTTGTCAGTTATGGGGTTTGAACTCTGGGACTGGGCACTGTCCCTCAGCTCTCCAATTCAGCCACAGCACCACTTCCAGTTTTCTGGTAGTTTACTGTAGATAAATGTTTCACGGCTTTTCTTGACTGAGCTGTCTTTGAACCTCCATCTTCAGATCTCAGCCTCCTGAGTAGCTAGTATTACAGGCGTGAGCCACTGGCACTCAGCTGAGGTTAACTTTTAATAATCCCAGCTACCCTTGTCTCTATAAAAGCTGTATAACCAAAGCATGAATGAAAGGCTGGTCTCAGGTGAGAACAGTGAAGGGCCATTGTGGTGCCATAGAGGTATTATAAAGGATAGCCATGCAATAAAGACTGGGTGAATGAATGGCTACCATCATAAGTTTTTTGAGGAACGAGCAATGTAAAATGCAAAGGATTGGAGTATCATTCCCAAAAGTTTAAGAATCTCTAAGCTATTTTATATTCACTTTGAAGGTTTTCCCCTAACTTCTTTTTTTTAATTTTTAAAACATTTTTAGTGTTTTCTTTATTGTAAAAATACTGTACAGAGGGGTTACAGTTACATGAGTAAGGTAATGAGAACATTTCCTATCGAGCATTGTTACCTCCTCCTTTGTTTTTCCTCTACCATTCCTTCCCTTCCCACCTCCCGGACTCCTCCTCTCCCCGCCCCGCCCCCCAAGTTGTAAAGTTCCTTTTCAACATAGTATCTTGTAATCTTGTACATCTCATTGTTACAATAGGTCAGCCTCTATCCTTGTTTCAGCATTTTCTTATTTCCCTTCCCCTCTCCCAATTAGAAAAATACATATACAAGATGCAGGGCACTGACATCAAATACAGTGAAGACAGGAGTTATACCAGTCTCCTAGCTTCTTTTAAAGACTAATTTCATGTTCTAGCTAAAGAATTTCAAAGATATAGTCATCTTTTCTTTATACTATATCAGACAATTATTATATATAAAATTATTAAACAACTCAATGTATACCGTGCAAAGTCTCTATTTTTACTAACCCAGGAGATGTTTAATTCATTGATTTGAGACTTCAGTCTTCCAATTTGAAAGAGTCTATAAGTGAAATTGACCCATAAAAATCCTGTCTTATGTCCTACAAATGTACACCACTTCTAATTTTTTCAGTGATTTTTATGGACACATAAAAACTGTTCAACATAGTAATTAGTGAACCTCCACATTAAAAAAGTCATTAAAATGTCCTTTTATTCTAAACAACTTAAGTTCTTCAGGTTCTGCCCATAAAATCCACTTTGATCCCTTGATGATTCAAATTGCCACTCTGTTTTCCTTAGGAGTGGAAAAACTAATGTTTATTGAACATTGGGATTAGATTTGTGTTTAAACACTAACTTTATGACTCTAGGGAAATGATTTAAATTCCTTGAGACTTAAGTTTGGGTTATATTAGTTGCTAATCTTTTTTAAACAAATGATCTAGGCATGATGCTACATGCCTATAATCCCAGCACTCTGGAGGCAGAAGAGGTAGGGGGATTTTATTTGGAGACATCTGAGCTACGCAGCGAGGCCCTCAAAGAACCAAGGGATGAAGACACAGCTCAGTAGCAGAATACTTTCCTAACATATGCAAGACTCCGGTATTTCTACCACTTTTGCTCATTCTTATCTGTTTCTTGCCCTTCATCTAAGGTCACCCAGGTGGAAATTGATAGATCCAAGATTTGAGGTTAGATAAGTCTACTTCTTTCTCCTCCTGTCCCTCTTTCTCCCCCTCTCCCTCTCCCTGCCTCTTCCTTTCTCAACCTGTCATCTGATTCCTCAACTTCTTGCTTTCGATCATGGTAATAAAAGCTGAATATAGAAAGAAATTTAAAAAATAAAAATTTAAAAATAATTTTAAAAACCTCACTATGGTATGCAATTGGGTGAATATAACTAGAGAGCCCAAGTCAGCTGGTGTGAAGGGAGTGGATGGTGATTGGAGGGCCTCAGGAAGACTGCAATAGGGTGGAAAACATGATAATCAGTGGTGGAAGCAAAGGTGACAGTGTGCCCAGTCTACTTACAGAATGCCACCATATACAATTTACAGCCATTTAGGTTCCATGGTTGGTGAAACAGATTTAGTACATTATCATCCATCGCCATGGCTCCCATTCTTGATTTTTCCGTTTGTGACATTGAACTGCTGGACAGTAGTAATTATTTTGATCTGGACGAGCAGGCCTACAATAAATAAAAATGCTTTACTCTCTTACAAAAGTGAAGAATTAAGAGAGAAATTAAAGTTCTATTATTTTTCTTTTCTTTTTATTTTTTATTTTTAGGTCTGAGAATGGGACTAGAAATCGGTACCTGATGCTTTCGCTCATTGGCTAGCACTCTACCAACTGAACTGTGCCTTCAGCCTCAAGATTCTATTAGTGTTAAGCAATAATAGTTTGAATTAGGCCTATAAAGAAATCACAGTGGAGGTTTTTTTTAAAAGAAAAGTACACCCCTTCTAATTAATGAGGAGTTTGCCCCAAATACCTCCTAACCAATGCATTCTTTTCAAAACAACCCAGCAAATAAAGCTTTCATAAATCATTACTTGTAAACTATTGTTCCAACCTATTCTCTTTTTCCTTTATACAATTATGATAGCATTATCTGTTTTAAGAAGTTAATTACTGCAGCAGCTATAACCTTTTCAAGAGCTTGGAAATTTAGGGGTGTTTTTGAATCCTCTTACAGTAAGCCCAGGAGCAAACTTCTCCCCTGAATTAAGTTTCCTTTTTAGGCGCTTTCTCTGCCAATCTCTGGGGCTGTAGGACTTAAGAAAAGAAGTCTGACAGAATTTCCCTTTATTATGAGAAAAGTAAAACAGGATCAGAGAGGAATGTGGCATTTGGACAAGTTTTTGCCACACAAAGTATAGGTATGGGAAGTGTGGCCCAGAGTCCTGGCTTCATCTGTGTCACAGCTGCTTATGCTCAGGGATCTGTGGAAAATCCAATAGTTAGCCTGTTCCCGTGTCCTGACATCCCTCTCTAGGGGTTATTTTCACAGAGAAGGCAACTGTCCCTGTGCCAAATACAGTTTGCATCAGTTTGCACTTTGCTGCCAGTCTCTCCTGTAACTTTTATTTGTGTGGGTTTCATTTCTATTTTAGGCTTTGTTGTTTGGTTGTTGTTGAGCCTGCTGCTCCTCTCTGTTTTGTTGTTATTGTTTTAGTATTTGTTTGTTTCTAGCATCCCTGTCACCACCTGCTCTCATTCTATTGGAGAACAGTCAGGCTAATCAGCTTGTCCAAAACTGCTCTGATAGGGATCTTTTTAGCAGAGGGAAGGAGCCTCTGGTTAAAGGTCAGCGCTCAGGGATGGTCCATTCACTCACTGCTAGTCACAGGAAGTGGACCACATAGGCAGGATCTGTTTCAGCTGGCCACACCATCTCCACACAGTCACCTCTGGAACCCCAGAGCTGAGAGGCCAGTCAGCCATAACCACACAGCTTGCTGGAAAGGGGACAAAGAATACAGGAGTGAAGGTTCACTTTGACCTTCTACCTTAACTCTACTGTCCAACAGGGTTCTTGTTCAGCCAATGAAATCAACATTGTTTGCTATTTGGTTATCATTTCTTGTTATTTGTTTGTTTCACAAAGGGTTTTAACTACATAGCCCATGCTAGCCTCAAACTTGTGATCCCACTGTTGCTGCCTCTGAAGTGTTGGGATTACAGACATGCACCACTATCCCTTGGTCGGCTATCATCTCTTGTCTATAAGTTCCTTTAGGCAAAGAATGCCAGAAATAAAACTAAGGCCACATGCAAAAAATTAAAGCACTAGTACTATTATCTCTCTGGAGTAACCTGCTTTACAAAAAGTTTCTTGATAGCCACTATGAGTCTTCTCCTCCCCCTCCCCATAAAATTGGACCTCTTACAACAGTGAGATATATACCTCGATTAGAACAGGCTATATTCACCCCATTTGTGAGGGATACATTCCTGCCTTAGAGTTACAGTATGGGGATCATCAATAGATAAAGTTGGTAGTGGTTAATTAGTCATATACATTAATGGTGGGAGAGGAGAGGACAGTAAACCATGTAAGGTCATCTGATGATTCCACTTGAGAACAGAGTGAACAACCAGAGGGTGCAGAAAGTAGCCATATGGTGTCCAGAGGGTGGGTGTTGACTTTCCACCAGAGGATGGAATTAGCTTATTTGATTAGTTCTGCAAGCTGGCAAGGCACTGAAAGCTGCTGCTCGGTGATATGCAGGAAGCATATCCACTCATAGTGGTACTGGGGTTTGGATCAGGGCCTCCTGCTTGTTAGGCAGGTCCTGTAACCACTGACTCACAAGCCCAGACCTAATAAAGTACATCATTGAGAAGAAAGCCATTGGACCTTCTTCATGGGAGCAGAACTAAGGGGAGAAGGACTTGCTGGTAAGCCATCTGAGGGTCTCCTGATTTCCCCACATGTCAAGGCAAGACATATAATATGGAAAACTTGATTTTAGGATTTATGCCACACAGATTATACTTCTATAACATCATCTGTTTCTCACCTAAAAATTTGATTCTAGACTTGAGTTTCTGAATGTCTTATTTCACAATCAAATTGTGAGCACTGCAGAAGTGGCCAGCATTTAAGTCCCCCAAACTTAATCATAGAGTTTAATACACTCAAGTTTTGCCTTTGCCTGTGATCATTAAAAAACTGTAGACTATGAAAGCAGTCCCGTTAGCACTAATGCAGAGACCTGGGAGAATGTAAAGTGTTATTAGGGTCTGAGGTTTGGGCTGGCACATGCATGCTGCTGACCTAAACCTCTATGATATACTGGGCATTGACAGCTCTAAACATTGACAGTTACCCAGGCTTGCTGACATTTGAAAAGAGCGAGTGTTTCCTCCCATTTGTTTCTAAACTACTAGTGATACAATAAAACAAATGGGACACCAACATTGTTTTTAAAGCCAGAGTTAAGCTGCAGCCTAGTAGCCAGAATGCTGAGGCCTCAAATGTATTATTTGCACTGCATATTGTAAGCACTAATGGGCCATTAAAAGAATTCTTCTTGTTGCTAAATCCAAGCATGTTTTTATGGCACAGGGATGATAAAGAGGTCATGGACAAATGGAAGGATTTAGAGTGTATTTTCCCAAAAATTGAATGCGAAGTCATTTACTAGTTTCGATTTAGGCCCATTAGACTAGTTCTATTTTCTGTATACCTACCCAGGAGGCTGAGATCTGAGGATCACAGTTTGAAGCCAGTCCAGGTAGGAAAGCCTGTGAAAGTCTGATCTTCAATTAATTACCAAAAGCCAGAGATGGAGCTGTGGCTCAAGTAAAATTCTGGCCTTGAGCAGAAAAGTAGTTCAGGGACAGTGCCCAGGCCCTGAGTCAAAGCCCTAAGACTGACCCCCCCCTCCCCCCTCCCCCCCGCCTCACACACTAACTAAAAAAACATTTATATACAGATACTGCTATACTACATATACTACACTTGGGCATTTATCAAAAAGGATGAAAATCAACATACAAGACAGATATCTGCAATTAACATCTCCAATTAATCACAGAAAAAGCTGGAAGTGGTCCTGTGGTTCAAGTGGTAAAGTGCTAGCCTTGACAAAAGGACTTTAGGGACAGTGCTCAAGCTCAGGGTTTGGGCCCTAGGACCAGCAAAAAAAAAACAAAAAACAAAAAACAAATATCACATTTTCAATCATATGTGGAATCTAGACCTAAACTAATAATATGATGGGATTGTAAAATAGGGACTCTTTGAAGGTGGGGGAAGCCAGTGGGGGGTGAATATTACAGAAATATATAATATATATGTATGAAAATAGCACATGGAAATGGTAGAATGTTAAGAAAGATTAATATAGTTGGAGTAAAGCGGATTAAAGTATGCATGGGTAAATATCACAGTGAGGTCTTATATATATAGTCTATGCTAATAAAAAAGGTAAAGTCATGATATACAATTAGACAATGAATGAAAGTCTCAACACTTATTTCAGTCCTTCAAAGAAATCCCTTATGTCTCTGCTCTAGCATGCCCTTTCCTATTTAAAATTTTCTTTTTTTTTTTTTTACAAATAAGCCCATCTAGATCCATCAGGATACAAACTAAATATTGTTATGAAAAAAACTACTGGTTTCATCCCAACATGAAAAGTTAAAATTCACACTAAAATGAGGTTTCCACTGCAATTTTTTTTGTTGGCATAGAAAAATCTGTAGATACACTTTGAAGAACTAAGTGCTGATTGTGTGTCTCATTAGAATTCTAAAAATTTTCTAGTAAAATCATTTTCATACTAGATAGTAGGAATTGAATGTGTACTTTTTTCAATATGTTTTTATATCTGCTTATTATTAAAAAAGACTTGGGAAACATAGATATAATAAAGCAAAGTTCTACCAGCTAGAGATGACTATTGTTCAATTTCAGTGGATTTACTTCCCATATAATTGTTAGTTGTGTTTGAAGGGGTGGTGGCTCATGCCTATAATTCTAGCTACTCGGCTATAGAGATGGGGAGAATCTCTCTTTAAGGCAGCCAAGGTAAAGAGTTCTTGAAACCCCCATCTCAACAAACAAGGAAGGCAGAGTGGTATGTACCTGTGGTCCCAACTATGTAGGAAGCAAGAGACAGAATTGTAGTCTTTGAGAAGGATGCCAATGGCTCACAGTTATAATCCTAGCTACCTTGAAGGCTGAGATCTAAGGATCATGGTTCGAAGCCAGCCTTGGCAGAAAAGTCTGTCTGTGAGACTCTCATCATCAATAAACTACTCAGAAAAAGCCAGAAGTGGTATTGTGGCTCAAGTGGTAGGGTGCTAACCTTGAGCACAAAGAGGCTCAGGGACAGAGCCAGGCCCTGAGTTCAAGCCCCAGGACCAGCAAAAAAAAAAAAAAAAAAAAAGAAGAAGAATTGTTGTCTGTGGTTAGATCTGGGCAAAACTGCAACACCATACCTGAAAAAAATAACTAAAGCAACAATGGTTGGAGATGTGGTTCAAGTGGTAGTGCAATTGCTTAGCAAGTGCAGGCCAGGTTTAAACCCCAGTGTTTGAACTTCAACTTTTGAATTTTTTGAAAGCTGTACATTTACAAATCACAAATTTAATTTATGGTAGTCTAACTCTAAATTCTGTTATACAACTAACTTTAGTTAAAATACAAGACACCAACCCTGCACATTTCTCCCTCTTTTCTTGTATTTCCATATACATTGCTTCAAAATATAATATGAGCCATCAATTTACACGGAATTACTTTAAAAATTATTAATTTTTGCATCAAGCTGTGTTTTTCCAATTCAAGAGGTGAGCATTCAAACCATGCTGTCACCAGGGTCATACATTGCATGACTTTTACCATGAGCGCTCAACTGCCTTTTAACATTTTTTTAAATAAGGAAAGAAGTCTTATTAGTTTACTTCCATAGTCCTCTATTTCTTTATATAGATCTGAGTTTCCATCCTCATTCTTTTCCTTCTGCTAGAAGAACTTGATAGGACATTACTTACAATGCATACACGTAGGGTGATGAGGTGGTTTTTTGTTTGTTT